CTATTTTAAAAATTTTCCACCTTAACTCTTGTCTACATAAAAAACAAAGTACGGAGTATGAGATTTTCGTCTCATTCAACAAAAATTTGCAGAGCTTATTCCCTCCTAAACATTGTTATGACACGACAAGAATAGGGATAATTCGGATTTTTTTAACCATGAATTTGAACCAAGGAATGCTTCTTTAAAAAATCGAGTCTCGTATAATCAAAATCAACTATCTACCAAATCAAAAGACAACTGCGTAATATCCCAGCAAAACGTTTAAGTGGCCTCCTTCTCAAGAAAGAGAATAATAGAAATGGGCCTTAAATCTCCTTTGAACTCTCCCACCTTATCAGCGTCAACTCCACACAGAGGCCCTGTACATGAACGATTTGGCTTGAGGAAATTTACATCAATATGCCGAGTAAAGTCTTCGGGCAAGTGTCCCGGAGGCTGGTATACCTAAATGTAATCTGTTGCTCTCAAAGCTTTCCTTTTTTTTTGGTAAACTGAGGTAATTGAGGTCTGAGTCGTAATGGACATTTTCTTTCTGACAGAAGATTTGTGGCTGCAGTTCTTAGAACTGCAATTTGGTTTCTGCATTTGGTTTCTATAACAGCTTGGAATTAATTCTTGGTCGATTAACTAAAGTATTTTGTGAAGAAAAGAATATTGCTCAAAAATTGCTCATTACTCATGTGATTCCTCCTCTACCCTCTTCTCCTCTCTCCCATCCCCCTCCCTCTGCAATACCATTTTGATAAAGTTTGCTGTATTACCTGGGTAGTAGCTGGCCTGGGGAAATAGTTCGTTTTTGCTTGTTCCAAATCACCCTTCCTTGGAGGAGCTGCAACCGTGGTGCCTTCTTCATCATCCTGTACTATATCGGTGTGATCATAAATATCATCTGACGTTTCTGCAGCTGACGATGTCGTCCTTACATTCGATGGGGTCACACTTTCCAAGACCTGCCAATTTTTTGTAATGTCTTCAATCACATAAGTATTGGATTCTGATGGTGAAGGGGTTCTATAGGTGGTGGCCGGGTTTTCTGCAGGGCGGGGAGTTGAAGAAGACGAGGATGTGGTGAAGGGATTTATCTCCATGGCAAGTATGGACTGCGTAGAGCTTGTCTGCTCCACGAATCTATCTCTTCCAGAGGTAGGCAGGTCTATGTTGGTAGACCTTTCTGGGCTAGTGCTTGTAGGATTATACCAGCCACGAGTCGAATGTTGCTCGAAAAGATCTGTCACTGGGCTGACAATACTTCTAGTGGTAAATATCTCAGGATTCGCTGCTGGCTGGGTTGG